TCTGGCTCTTGCAGCCCGGGACGGTGCAGTTCATGGAGATCTTCCCCACTGCAGCCAGGATGGCCCTCACCAGGCAGTCCTGGACAGCATTCTGGCAGAGCTGCCAGGCTCTAGTGTGCAGCCTGTAGCTGCACAGCACGTGGGGGAGGGTCTCTGCCATGTAGTTGCACCGTTGGCACCTCTTGTCTCAGTGGCCAAAGCAGACAGCCCCGTTCAGAAGCAGGCAGTTGAGGCGGGCACAGTGGAGGAAGCACCAGTCTGCAAAGCGCATGAAGCTCCCACGGGGCATGAAGTGGTTGCTAGAGTCCCACTCTGAGGTGACGTCAAAGACCTTGCCCTGGTCAGGTTTGGCCCTCAGGTTGCCGGCATACTTGTTTCAAACAGTGTCCTTCAGGAACCGCTCCAGGAAAATCCTCATGTGGGGCATCACGGTGATGTGGTCAGCATGCGGGGCTGGTTGCAGGGAAACTCCCAGCTCCCGATGCTCCTCGGTCCAAGTCCAGGCACAGACGATGCGCTTCCCAAGGTGGTGCATGGCGTTGCGAGCTCAGCTCCACAGCTAGGCAAGGTCCCCGCTGTCTCTGCCAAACTCGCCCTCCAGCAAGCCACTGAGGAAGGTGGCCAAGTCACATCTAGTCGGTTGTCTTGCGATCCTCTTATGGGTGGCCTCCTTGAGGGTGCTATCTTCTGCCAGGGGGCCAGCAGGGACGAGTCCAGCTTGTGGGCATCCTGCACGATCCTATTGATGGTTTCTTCCAGCATCTGCTTGGCCCAGTGGCTGGTGGGCGTCCCCAGGTGGCAGTAGGCCTCACCATCGCATAGTCCAGCTTGTGGGCATCCTGCACGATCCTATTGATGGTTTCTTCCAGCATCTGCTTGGCCCAGTGGCTGGTGGGCGTCCCCAGGTGGCAGTAGGCCTCACCATCGCATAGGTGCCTCATCGCCTGGCCCTGGATCGTGAGGGTGGAGCCCAGGACGTGGCTCTTCTGCCTGCTGTCAACATGCAGGGAGGTGCACTTGGTGACATTGAAGCACAGGCCAATCCACCTGGCTGCCTCAGATGTCACATCCAGCATCTGCTGCAGCTGGGCGGAATCACTGTTAAGGAGAATGAGGCCATCAGCGTAGGCCAGAACACTCCACTTCTGGTCATACAGGTAGAGCCCACCGGGGTTGCCTGCTACAGCTCGGAGTGGTTCCATGGCTAGGTTAAAGACGATGGGGCTGAGGGGGCAGCCCTGTCTCGCCCCCCAACTGGATGGGGATCTCTGTGGTCTCTCCTCCTTCCGTGGCGCAGATGGTTGTGGTACATCCATTGTAGAGCTCTCGCACCAGATCGACAACGCCATCTGGTAGGCTGAGCTGGTAGAGGGTGCCGAAGACGTGGGGGTGGGGCATGGAGCCAAAGGCCTTGGAGATGTCCAGCTACGCCACCGCGCACTGCTTCCCGGTCCTCCTGGCGTTGTCCAGGGCCATCTGGAAGGTGAAATTGTGTTCGTAGCAGCTGTCCATCGACATGAAGCCCTTCTGGCTTCGGCTGACAGCCCCGCCAGTGACCGCCCAGTCAGTGATGTGGGCCACCAGGCAGCTGGCATATTACACTTGATCTGAGCCTTCAAGAGGCTGAGAAGCAGCCTGAGCTGAAAAGGCCATGGTTTGAACTGAGAAGGCCAAGAAGCAACAGAGTAGCCACATCCAAATGAATAGTCAGTTTTTGCTTCGTGTCTCTGAAAAATGCTCCCAGCATTGTGAAGAGGTGCCCTACACTCCTTTGTGCTTCTGCTGGACCCCAGGCTTTGTGGGATTCCTCCTGTGGATATTACAGAAATTTCCACTAGCTAAATGTCTTCAGAACTCTAAATCTTGGTGTTAAAATTCAACATCACCACAATTCTTCTTTCACCACACCTCTTTTTGGGCTGCCAATGCAGTTTGCAAACTGTTCAAGATCTCCACCAGGTGCCTCTGCATTTTTCTGTTCATTTCAGTCTCACTGCTCACAAAGAGCCTCTTCTCTGCCAGTTCTCTGGTCACAGATAGAAAGAAAGAGCCCTCTTCTTCTTTGGCTTTCTGTCCTTCTGTTTTCTTGAGAAATTTTTTCCTTCCCTGAACCACTGAACCTTGGATCTTGAAGGCTTCCAACAAGATTACTGATGGTTTCCTCTTTGCTTTTTACCTTCTTCATTTGCAAGTTTGCCAGAACTGGGCAGTAGCAGAGGCAATATTCCTGAGGATCCAGCTGCCTCAGGTGTGACATCCAGCAGAGTCACAGATGTGCAGATACTGCTTTTATGGCTGACATGCAGTGAAAGAAATGTTGGATGGTTTGGCAAAATGGCTAGGCTAGCAGTTGTACTTCTGCAGGCTGCTCTAACTTTGGAAACTGCATCCCAAATGCCAAGAACAGCAAAGAAAGTACCAATTTACTAATGCCAAGGAGAGTCCAACAAGGGAGGCATTTCTGTTATTCACCAGCATGTTTCCTTCTGACATTCCATGCCAGGGACTGGGAGGATGCAACCTATCCCAGGTGTAGGCAGCTATACCTTGTAATGTTCCAGCCAAAAGTAGAGAAAAGAGGGAGGGGAGGAAGGGAAGGAAACCTGTGGCTGGCAGGTTGGTTCTTATATTGTGGGCTATAGCATCCTATACATATCAGAGCTGGACAAGGGTAGGAAGCAATGCAAAATCTGTTCTTTTGTCCTTTGATCTATTGAACATCTAGTTTCACATCCCTAATTTTGATGCAGCATTTCCAGTTGTCCTGCTTGTCGCCCTGCTCAGACATTTCTTTAGCAACCCAAAAGATATCCATGATTGAACGTTTTCTCTCTAGGATTTCTGGAACCATTACATCTCTCCAAAAGATGGAGAGAGCCAGGACCTCCCTCTGTATAACTCCACCTTGATGCACAATGAGGCATGGCACAGGACTACAACAAAATATTAGGTGTGCTTATTCCAGGACAACGTAAACACACACAGATTGACTCTGCTCAAGCTCCAGAAAAATTAGGAATTACATGACTGTATAGAATTAGAGGACCTACATGCACATCAACCAGCCAAGCCATGTGAAAAACAGTGGGGGAAGGCGATTGGAAGTCCACCAGAACAGTCCACAGCATAAACTAGACCCTACCCACATTGATACCTTGGTAAATTTACTGCTACTTGGAGTAGGAGATGAGACCACGGTACCTTGCCCGTTACCTTTCATCCTCTGGACATTGGTCTTTTAAGCACACAGCAACCCAAGTTTAGTTCAAAGTAAACCTCCCCATGTAGAGGAGGAGCCTCAAGGGTGACTTTAGTCCCTCTTCTTCACTAAAACAATCTTCCCAGTCTTGATTTTACTGCCTTTGAACAAAATCCAGTGGGGTGGCATTGGTACAATGCTTACAAGTGTGGCTCAAATTAGTTACAGGAGCTGTTCCATTGCAGAACCCTGGAATTTGCAAGACAGCAACAACTAAATAATAGTCATAATGCCTAGGCTTATCTCAGATCCTGACAAAAGTGACTGGGGTGAGGAAAGGCAGACAGTCAAATTAATCCAAACTTAACAGTTATAGTCTAGAATCATTCTCACTTTCCGCCTGCCCAGTCCCCCCACCCTTCATACTTGGCAAATGCACTCTGCCTGCTTCAGAAACACAAAATACTAAATGTAAGTTAGTCTTTTAATTGTAGTTTCAATTTGATATGACATTCTTCGCTTTCTGCCCTAATTTCTTGAGTGGCTCTCATTCAACAGTAGTTGAAATGATACCTATGCATAGTTTTGAGAACATTTTGTAAAACCCTTCAGGAGCTATTGGATGAATGGTACTAGAAGTATCTAAATTTTAAATTCTGTTAATTAGTTTAGTTAACAGTTCAGACATTTTATTGTTTATATAAAATATGTTAGTAGTAGCTTTTCTCCAGCAGATGGCGAAACACCAGGGCACAAACTAGATTGAATTTTCCTAGCTCTTCTGACACCTCTGCCTCAAGGAATATTTCCACAACCAAAATGAATCCACTTCCAACAATGCTTCATCCTTTGACAATATTGAGGAAAAGATCAACCCCCCCCAAAAAACATCAGATTGGACATCCACAGTGGATGAAATTCTAAGCTTGACTGCTATATTGACTGCTTCAGGGAAAAAATAAACAATTAAATAATCAACACCACATGCCACCATAAGGACCTCTCCCTCAGATAAAAGGGCCATCGTATCTCTAAGATCTAACCATAAAATGGTAATAAAACCAGCAGATAAAGCAGGAGCTATAGTTATCCTTAACTGTGAAGACTAGCATAAAAGAAGCCAACAGACAACTCTGACACCACCTACTACAAAAAACTAGAGGAAGATCCTACTCGCCTTTGCACCTTACAACTCAAAATTACCATCAAATCATTTCCATCTGAATTACAAGAAAAACTACAGAACCTGATCCCCAACACTACTTAACTCAGGGACTTTTTACATGTTCCCTAAAATCCACAAACAAGGGAACCCTGGCAGACCTATCATATCCACCCATGGAGCCCCAGCTAAGGAAATATCAGGTTTCATCGAATCAATCCTAAAAGACAAAACTTGCTCTTTGTGTGATGGATAAGATGCAATGGACTTTCTACAAAAAACTTAAACACATAGACCACCTTCCCAGCCACCATGGACATTACCAGCTTCTATAACTACATCTCACACCAGGATGGCATCCAAACCTGCCTTGCATATCTACAAGAGCAAGATTACAACTCAGAGTACAGACCTAAAGATATTGACTTTTATTAGTAGATGTTAAGGATTGTAAATCCAAACAAAAGATGACAAAGCTGATAGGGAAATACAGAACGCCCGGGCGAGGGACTAACAATAGAAGGATGGGGGTGAGGTGGGGAACGCAACTAGGTTACATGCGATACAAAGTTAGCCAACTAAGCCCAGGGGTAAGGGGGGGAGTGGGGAAGGGGAGGGGGGGGTTTCGCGACGCTGAGAGAAAAAGAGGATAGGAACACACATACCCGTGACAATGGTCCGCAATGGTGGAAGAAGTGGTCCGAGGAAAAAGTGTCTCAGTCTATATATGGTCTATCGCGGGGGTCCTCTTTGGGTGGCGCAGGGTCGTCGTCCGTTGTTGATGAGTCAACTAAACTTGCACACAAAACTTCCCTTTCAATAACCAACAATTCCTCCAGACCACGGGCACAGCTATTGACACCAAAATGACCCCACAATATACCAACCTTCTTGTGTGCCACCTGGAAGAAGAATTCTTCAAGAACTGCACCATCAAACCCTTGCTATACTTATTGATGACATCTTCATGATTTGGACAGAAAGCCTGCAATCTCCAATTGTTGAATTTCTGATGGAAATCAATCATCACCCCTCCATCAGACTCTCTCTTGAATACTGCAATACCAACATTTCCTTTTTAGACATGATGATCACTATCCAGAATGGTAAAATACAGACCACCATATACAAGACACCCATGGACCAACATACATATTTGCACAGAACCAGAAATCACCCTAAACACACCAAAAAAGCTGCAATATACAGCCAAGCCCTCCAATACCACCAAATCTGCACAGAGAAGAACACCCATGATCATCACCTCAAAAATTTCAAAAAGGCTTTCACAGGCTCAGGAAGCTGCAGCAGTTGGTGTGTGCTCTTCCTGGATGGAATGAAAAGTAAAGAAGCCAGGGGCTGGGCTGGGCTGGGCTGGGGAGTCAGTTGCCAGGCAGATTATAATGTATCAAAAATCCAATGTCTATGTTTAGTCCCTGATCTCTAGTATCCAGCAAGCTGATGAAATGGAGTTCATAGGCTCATCTCTGGGATGTGTTGTGTAAATTTCCCTTGAGGATCAGGACTGAGAGATTGGAGAGAGAGTGGCCCTCCTGTGAGAAATGTGCCCCCACCGGTAATTGGGTGTTTCTGTCTTTGATGGATTTCCGGTGTGCATTCATTCTGGTGCGCAGTTGTTGTCTGGTCTCTCCTACATATCTTCCATCAGGGCATTTGGTGCATTGGATGAGGTATACTACATTCCTGGAGGTGCAGCTGTAAGATCCTGGGATGCTGATGGCTCTGTTGTGGGGTGTAGTAATAGTGGGGGTGGTGGAGATGTGGGGGCAGGTTTTGCATTTCTTGTCATGGCACGGTCTGGATCCTTTTGGTGTGTTCTGGGGTTGAGGAAGTTTGCTTCTGGTGATGAGGTTGGCGAGGTTCGGTGCTTGTCTGAAGGCTAGGATGGGTGGCTCTGGGAAGATCTTTTTAAGAATAGGGTCTTTTTCTAATATGGGTTGCAATTTTTTGAGGATTTTCCGTACAGGTTCAAGGGATGGGTGATAGGTCATAACCAGCGGTGTGCGATTTGTGGGTGTTTTTCTTCTGTACTGCAGCAGTTCTTCACGTGGTATCCAGGTGGCTCTTTCAAACGTGCGATCTACCTCTCTGGAGGAGTGTCCTTGCTGGGTGAAAGCCTTTTTAAGATTGGTGAGGTGGCAATCCCGGGTGTTCTCTTCAGTACAGATGCGGTGGTATCTGAGGGCTTGGCTGTATATCACTGCTTTTTTGGTGTGTTTCGGGTGATTGCTGGTTCTGTGCAGATATGTATGTTGGTCTGTGGGTTTCTTGTATACTGTGGTCTGTATTTTACCCTTCTGGATACTGATCCTTGTGTCTAAAAAGGGGATGTTGGTGTTGGAGTATTCTAAAGAAAGTCGGATGGAGGGATGGTGACTGTTGAATTTCTGGTGGAACTCAATCCGAGATTGCAGGTTCTCACTCCAAATGATGAAGATGTCATCGATATATCGTAAGTACAGCAAGGGTTTGATGGTGCAGTTCTTGAGGAAGTCTTCTTCCAGGTGGCTCATAAAAAGGTTGGCATACTGTGGGGCCATTTTAGTGCCCATAGCTGTTCCCATCATCTGGAGGAAGTGTTGATTATTAAAAGTGAAATTGTTGTGTGTGAGGATGAAGTGTATAAGCTCAGTGATATCTTTGGGTCTGTATTCTGGGTTGTAATCTTGTTCCTGTAGATATGTAAGGCAGGCTTGGATGGTCAGATAAACTTGTCCATCTTTTGTAAGGATGGACATAGGAAGAGTTATCCAAAGGCAATGGAGAACTATTTGCCCTTATTCGCACTGAGCATTAGCTGCAGTTAGTGTGAAACCCATATTCTAACCTACTCAGCCCTGATCCCAGTCACCTAGGATAGATTTAAAGGACCTCCAAACATTGGTCAGAAGTTTTTATTTATGGTCAAGGTCTGTAGTTTTTCTTGTAATCTTGATGGAAATGATTTGATGGTATTGTTGAGTTTTTTGGTGAAAAGGGGAGTAGGATCTTCTTGTAGTTCTTTGTAGTAGGTGGTGTCAGAGAGCTGTCTGTTGGCTTCCTTTATGTAATCCTCACGGTTTAGGATGACTATGGCTCCTCCTTTCTCTGCTGGTTTTATTACTATTTGGTGGTTAGATCTTAGAGATTCTATGGCCTTTTTCTCTGGTAGAGAAAGGTTGTTGTGGTGGCGTGTGTTGCTGATTATTTCATTGTTCATTCTTTCCCTGAAGTAGTCAATGTAGCGGTCAAGGTTAGGGTTTCGTCCATGCAACAAGGACACTCCTGCGACAGACACCCCGCACTTTTGAAAGAGCCACCTAGATACAACGTGAAGAATTGCTGGAGTACAGAAAGAAAACCCCCATGACTCACAAACCACTAGTTATGACATATCATCCATCCCTGGAACCTATATGGCAAATTCTCAAACAATTGCAACCCATACTAGAAGACCCAGTTCTTAAAGAGATCTTCCCAGAACCACCCATCCTAGCCTTTAAGCAAGCACCAAACCCTGCCAACCTCATAACCAGAAGCAAACTTCCTATGGCCCAAAACACACCAAATGGATCTAGACCACGCCATGACAAGAAACGTAAAACCTGCCAACACATCTCCACCACCCCCACAATAACTACACTCCACAACAGAACCATCAACATTCCTGGATCTTACGCCTGTACCTCCTGAAACATTGGCAACATGTAGGGGGTGCTCATGCATCCCTTGAGATTGGCAGTGCACCCTCTGAAAAAAGCGCCACTGACACTGCCAGTGGCACCTGTGAGTGGTTGCTGCTCGCCATCCCTTTCCCCACCGCCGACACCACCGCCGGCATCTGCAGATGGTCCCTGATTGCTGCTGGCCACCACCAGCATCTGTGCATGGTCGCTGACTGCTGGTGGGCACTTGCCACCTGCTCCCCGCCCTGCTGCTAACACCGCAGCCACCTGCGGGAGCTCGCCATGCCCTCCCCAGCCTCCGGGGACGTGTGGTGTTCATGTCCAGAAATATAACGCGTCTCATCCAGTGCATTAAATGCCCTGATGGAAAATATATAGCAGAAAACACTACATCCCAGAATGAATGCACACTGAAAAATCTTTCAAAAACAAGAATACCCAGTTACCTGTGGGGGCACATTTCTCACAAGAAAACCTCCTTCTCTCTCCAATCTCTCAGTTTTAATCCTCAAAGGGAATTTACAAAACACCTTTCACAGATGAGGCTACGAACTTCACTTCATCAACCTACTGGATACAAAAAATCATGGAATAAATGTATACATTGGATTTATGCAGGCGCGGCTGGTGAACTCAGACTGGTGGGGTGGGTGGAGTGGCACACGGGAGCTGGAGCAGGGCGGGGTGGGGAGGGGTTGCAGCTAGCCAGGAGCAGAGGGGGGGGACGGGGACAGGTTTGCAGCCTCTCTGCACCGGGCCAGGCAGTCCAGCCGGGAGTAATCTCCCCCCGCCCCTGCTCCCATGTGATGCTCCAGTCCGAGTTCACCGGCTGCACCTGCATTTATGACATTATAATCTACCTAACATCTGACACCCCAGGTAACATCTCTACTATTTACCAGCTATATTCTCATAGATTCATAGATGTTAGGGTCGGAAGGGACCTCAATAGACCAGGGTAGGGGAGAGCACCACCGCCCTTGGGAGCCCGTTCCAGACCTTGGCCACTCGAACTGTGAAGAAGTTCTTCCTAATGTCCAGTCTAAATCTGCTCTCTGCTAGCTTGTGGCCATTATTTCTTGTAACCCCCCAGGGGCGCCTTGGTGAATAAAACCTCACCAATTCCCTTCTGTGCCCCTGTGATGAACTTGTAGGCAGCCACAAGGTCGCCTCTCAACCTTCTCTTGCGGAGGCTGAAAAGGTCCAGTTTCTCTAGTCTCCCCTCATAGGGCTTGGTCTGCAGGCCCTTAACCATACGAGTGGCCCTCCTCTGGACTCTCTCCAGGTTATCCGCATCCCTCTTGAAGTGCAGCGCCCAGAATTGCACGCAGTACTCCAACTGCGGTCTGACCAGCGCCCGATAGAGGGGAAGTATCACCGCCTTGGATCTATTCGTCATGCATCTGCTGATGCACGATAAAGTGCCATTGGCTTTTCTGATGGCTTCGTCACGCTGCCGACTCATGTTCATCTTGGAGTCCACTAGGACTCCAAGATCCCTTTCCACTTCCGTGCCACCCAGCAGGTCATTCCCTAGGCTGTAGGTGTGCTGGACATTTTTCCTCCCTAGGTGCAGCACTTTGCATTTCTCCTTGTTGAACTGCATTACCACCAGGTCTACATTCCCCTTCCCTCCCCTGCCACCTCTCTCATATCCACTGGCTGCCTCAATTAGCATTTTCACTACTGGCACTTGCAGGCATACTGGCCTCTGGCTTCTATTCTATTCCATCCAAGAAGAGCACAGACCAACTGCAGACCCTTCCTCAGTCTGATAAGGAGATTTTGTACCCGAAAGCTTGCAAAGAAGAATTTTCCCAACTATTTTAGTTGATCTAATAAAAGATTTACACATTTACCCAAACAACCTTGTCTGCCTAGCAGTTCTGACATTACTGAAATACATTAGAGATTTGTTAAACATAACTCTAAGCTATAGTGAATGCCTTCCTTTGACAGGATTTTCCCCCAATTTTTGTGGGGGTAGGGAGAGTGGTTAAATAAAAGCCTTCATTATATTCTTAACTGGTCCAAATTGGGGTTTGGGAAGGGGAGGTTGATTTTGAGGTTGCATGGCTCTGCTGATGAAAAATATCGTGCACAGACCATAACCAGTTCCATAACTAAACAGTGCATACTACATGAAGTAGCTTTTATATATTTTCTTGTTTTATGTATGTATTTTGTGGACATTATTTAGTGATTATTAAATGTTCAAGACTCACAAGTTAGTCTTACCCACAGAGTAGGTAGCAGCTCAAGCAGAGGCAGTAAACATTTCTCCACCATACTCTACCCATGTTCAATGATGACTCCTGTAGAGGCCACCTATACAGATGATAGGATGGTATTATTTGCATTCCAGTAGCATTTGCAGACCCCAAATTGGGGTTTGGCTCCTAATCTATTAGGCACTGGTACAAACATAACCCCCTCAAAAAGCCTACCATGTAAATAGATAAGACAGAGGGTATATATTGGTGGGGAGGATGTAACAAGGGTATTCAGGCTAATGGAGGAAAATATTAGCTCCCCCTCTTTTATTAAAAGAATAAATATATTCATAGTAGGAGGTGGGGTGAACAGAAGGCAAGAGGAAGAAAGTTAAAAATGAGCATGGTCAAGGTGAAGAGAAAGGTAGATCAAAAGGAGTGACCAGAGGAGGATGGGGGAAGCAATAACAAGGTTACTGAAGAGACTGGAAAATGGGTTAGAGGAAACACCAGTGAGAGAGGGAAAAAATATTCCCAATTAACATAAAGGGGAAAATGCAGTCTCCTCCACTCCACTCCTCCTTCAGTCCCTTGCTCCTCACTGAGGCTGCCGACTAGAGTGCCAAGGAGGGGTAATGTTCCTTTTTTCTCCTCTAATGTGATCACTTTTTCTTGTGGGGACAAAAATAGATTAACTACATTCATTTTGCAAGAGCTCCTCAGGAGCCACCAAAAAGTGCATTACTGTTCTACTGCTTTATAGGGGACCTCCAATATTAGGGAGAGATACTCTAGTGGTAGAGAACTGAGTGAATACATGGCAATATCTAAAACAGAATAGAAGAAACTGAATTTATAACAAAAACACAAAATAAAACCAAAACGAACCCCTACAGTTAGCTGCTCACTTGTGGCCTTGTCAACAAGCACTCTTTTTGGTTCATTCTCCAGCTTGCTTTCCCTGTGGGAAACTAGTTTGATTTCCAGTTCATCAGCCAGTTCCTTGGCAGTCAGGGCACTTGCAAACCCCTTATCAGAAAAGTAGCTTACAAAGAAATTCCTCTAAGCTTTTAGCTAATGCATTGTTTGTTCTCCACATCATGAAAAATTGTATTTGCAATACTGACATCAAAGTATATTAACAACTGAAGTTGCTCACTACCTAAGACTTTGGAATTGTAGATTTTATCAGACTTCTGAAACTTGGTAAAGCAACACACTGATTGCGTCAATTTGGTTTTCCCCATTGTCCCTCACTTACGTTTTTTGAAAGATTGATCTTGAGTCGGGCAAAAGATGCCACCTTCTTCAGATCCCAAAATTTCTCCTCCAAACTCTACTGCCCCTCTTTCAGATTTGCTCCACTGTTGCAGTTTTCACCCCTCAAATCACTGCACAAGATTCCTATTTCTTTTAATGGTTCAAGGAGCGCTTCTGTCATTTTAGCACCAGTAAAATTCACAAGTGTTTAAAGCTTTAGTGAAATATTCTTTGATTGTAATACTGCCACTCTTGCCTTAGATTTCTCTCTGTGGAAGAAGCAGTCATTTGTCATTAACTCTTGTTGACTAATTACTTTGATGCCATTAAGTATACTAGAATACTTGACAGCTTTCAAGGCAGGAAATTAGTTAATTACTTTGATTTTCATAAAAATTATTCAGAATGAAATGCTTATGCCTAGGTGTAACAGGGAGCCTAAGCTCTGTTTCAGGGAAGAGGGGGGTCAGGGAAGACAAGTCAGCAGGGGCCCTTCAAGGCCTGAACTTTTGTAGCCCAAGGGGGTGCGATTTCCTGCTGCAAAGAAAGACCCTGCCAGCACAACCAAAGTGGAGGAGATCTTGGGTACCAAGGAAGGCACAGGAGGAAGCAAGTGGCTTGCTGCTGGTGACAGTAGGTAGCCCTGGAGGGGAAACATCAAGCCCTGGGCTGCAAACCTGCCCTTGACCAGCCCAGCTTTCAACCAGTTAGTTGCAGAGCCCAGCAGCCAGAGGGAAGGAGATTAGCCATACCTGGGCCATGGGAGCAGGAAACCCAGCCAGTAGGGCTGTAAAAAATTTCACCAGCACTTTTGTTTCTACGCTGTTTCAACTCGTTTCAAGCTCCAAACAGCAAAATCAATATGAAACAGAGAGCTTCGAAAGCCTCGAAACGAAACAAGGCAAGTCAAAATGTTTCAAAACTCAAGTTGGGCTTGCCTGCAGGGAAATAGAAACTAAAGTAAGGAGAGGGAGGGGAAAGGAGTGCTCTCATTATTGACTGTGTAGCTGGCCAATGACTGTCATCCTTCCCTGAGGTCCCTTCCAATCCCAATGCTCTGGGGGAGGGATGGAAAATCTGCATAAAGGCATCATTGTTTGAACTGCCCTGCTTTCTGCCTTGGTGTCAGTTGAGTGAGGGCACACCTTAGTGCGCGCACAGTATCACCCACCCATGTCACGAGTTTTGCCTGTCAGCAGCTAGGAGGTGCAGGGCCCCAGAACCCAGACTCCACCTGCACCTATCTCCTTGACAGATGGCAGGCTTTGTGGCCTCAGCGGGAACTAGCAGGCCTGCAGTTTTAACCCCACTGTGACTTAACACACGTGTGACATAAGTTTTTGCTTTCAAGACTGAGGTGCAGTTTCCCTGAAACCCCTGCACCTATCTCCTTGAAACTTGGCAGGCTTTGTTGCCTCAGCAGAAGCTGGCATGCCTGCAGTTTTAACCCCACTGTGACTTAACACACGTGTGACATAAGTTTTTGCTTTCAAGACTGAGGTGCAGTTTCCCTGAAACCCCTGCACCTATCTCCTTGAAACTTGGCAGACTTCATGCCCTTAGAAGGGGCTACCATTCTTACAAGTTTCATCCAAATCAGGCCACAAATTACAAAGTTATAGGATGTTTTGAGCTTCCCCATTATAGCCTATGGGCGAAACGTCAAAACAGTGTCAAAACAGCAAAACTGTTCTGACGAAATGAAACGGAACAGCAGTTTCTAATCAAAATTAAATTTGAAACAAAATGCTGTTTCGTCGAAATGTAGAAGTGGAATGGTGCCGTTTTGCACAGCCCTACCAGCAAGCTGATGAAGCAGGAGTGGCTGACTGGGATATGAACTTAGAGGAGATATGGGATATGAGGGGTAGAGGAGAGAGGCTGGCCCAGAAGAGAAGGGAGATGGAGCCCTGCAGGGTGAACACACCTGGCAGATAGGCCTGTGCAAAGCATCTAGTATTTGCTTTGGATTCATACGATTTGGGGGACAGCGATTTGATTCGGCGATTCAAATACTGTCCTGAATCAATTGGCCTAATCGATTCGGCCGGGGG